CGAAGGCATTTTTGAAGAATGAATCTTTCAAAAAGATATGTTTGCTGGTTTGGATAAGGAAGTCTTGGAAGTGGTGATCTTAATAGTGGTGTTAAATAGGTTTGTTTAATACCAACTTGTCTTACCTGCGTAGGCATAGCCTAGCATTTAGTGCAGTACTGTATGTATGTAGAGAATACGGAATACTAACTGCCTGGCGCGACCAGATGATCAGAATTTTACTAAAATATACTGTGTACTTCATATTGAAGAAAAAGGATGCAAAAACTGAGTAATATTTACATTTCATTTTAATTATAAATAACTTGTGGCCGAGTTGACTTGTGGTCGAGATGACCTGCTTCCCACCAAAATGACGTGTGTACAGGTTAACCAAACATGGGTACGGGTCGCCTAATTTGTGTACGGGTTTGCCAAAGTGGATACGGGTTGGCATGGGTACGGGTACGGGTTGGTTTGGGTACGGTTTAGCCAACACCCGGCCAGAATGTCCACACATTCTATGTCTCCTCCTACCTTCCACCCTCCTAGCTCGCGCTGCACATGCATGGCCTTCCATTCTCATAAAGTGAACAAGGTAAAAAAAAAGCTGATTGCAGCAACCACTGAAATAAGCAACTTCCTGGTCTGATATCTATTAAAAACATCTACCTTCAATCTTACCGTAATAATGCTTTCAGATGTACATCTATAGCACAGAATTATGTTTTTTATACAACGTAAAAAGCCAAAATCCACACACCAATCAACAACTAGAACATACACAATGGCCAATTCAATTCAAACTATACTGGGTACACAACATTGTACGCTGTACAGTACACAAAATATGTGGGGTATTCAATATGTGCATGCAGCAATCAAAATGATATCCTCACGTGACATGTTTTTTGATCGAAGTCGCCATGGTTAATTCTACATACATTGTAAAACATTGTATTTTACTTTATATACATTTAAATATTTGTTTATATATACAGTAACCGTATATATATAACTATATATATATAACTATATTATATATATATATTGTTAAGTCAGATTTTGCTATATGTATTAACTGCCCCTGTTTGTAGAATAGGCCTGTGTTAAAGGCTAAAGCATAGACCAAGATACTCTATGCAGACCACAAGTTTGTGGTGATTGTAATTCTAGGTTACAGACAGTGAACTTAGCTATCTTCCAACTATGCATTCAAGGTTTGCCATTCTCACTTAGCAACAGACTTTCTTATCTTGTTTTGGAATAGTTACCAAAACAGTGTATCAGTTCAGTTCATGGATTCAATGCAACAGGTTCTGGAGAAGAAACTGATGTAAGTTTATATTGAATTATGTTCTAGGATTACAGTTAATAAATAAGATTAAATCAGTACTCTCATTTAGTACATAATCATTCTCTTCGGTGTACGGTAAGAATGGCCCCGGAAAAAATGGCCCCGGAAAAAATGGCCCCGGAAAATATGGCCCCGGAAAAAATGGCCCCGGAAAAAAAGGCCCCATATGACAGGTAGGTAAAAATGGCCCCAATAATCAAATTCTGTA